GGAGCAACCTGGTCTAGTGCAAGGTGTCCCTGCCCATGGCAGGGGGGTTGGAACTGGATGATCTTTAAGGTCCCTTCCAACCCAAACCATTCTGTGAGTCTAAGACGAACAACCAGGCAGTTTCCTCCAGAGGCAGCTGAATATATAGATCTAAACATTCACAACCTAGAAAAACAGTGAAGGAGAGCAACAGAAACATAGTTGAGGACAGGAAAGGTGGGTTTTGTTACATTAAGAGATTTAAGGGGAAAAAAAATAAAATAAAAGGAGTGCTGACTTGAGTACAACATGAAATACCTGTAACCACCAGCTGAATTAAAACCCTATTCTGGATTTATTTTTGTTACCACAAAACAACTGCCACTCCAATCACCAAACCTAAATTAAACCCTAACCCACTCAGAACTTCAATCAGATTCTGCTGGTGTGTTACAGCTTGTTAGTTAAGGCGACATGATCAGTCAGCACAGCACACGATCCCGTGTCAGTCCACCTCTGTTTAAGCAATAAATAAAAGCAAAGGGATGTAAGATGCTTATATTATTGTATGTAACTTATTAAAGGAGTATCCAATCAATTAGGACGATATTTAAAAAAACCAAACTTAATCCACTTAGAAAACTTCACAATGAGGAATGGGCAACAAGGAACTAAACTTCAGCCATAGCTTGGCATTTACCGTTTTCCCTTTGTGAAATCTGTGTGAGGAAGTGGGAATAGTTTATCCTGTAGCGGATACATTGAGCCGTACTGTCACAGATAAATGGTATTCCAACTTGGCCTGAATTTTCCACCTTATATTCTTCACACAGATGAGAAATTACTTTAAATAATGTCAGGGGGGGAAAAAACAAACCAGCGCTGGAATAACTTGCACAGCAACTTTGTTGTTTTTTTTTTTTTTTTCCTGTTTGGTTTGGTTTTCCCTCCCCCACCGGCTGGCACCCCACTTGTGTTTCTCTCGCACGATGCAGTCACGGCAGGGAAACGGTGGCCAAAGGTTCTCTCCATTACACCATCCGGTCAGCCTGAGCCCACAAAAATGCTGAAGGAATCCCACAGTGCCATTACAGACTGCCAGCACAGGCCTTTTCCACAGACAACAAAAGGAATAGATTAGCTACATATTGCACTGGGGATGTGCTGGGTTTTTAACCATAGGCTGAATTCATGGATGTTCAACAAGTCCTACTTCGCCTTGCCACAAGTCCTAAGCAAGCATCGGTATCCGGCAGGATCTGAGTCGGGAGAAGCCGACAGAACTTCAGGCTGAACCTGAAGGACGGTGGCCGAAGGGAAGGACATTATGGATACACGCTGCAATCTGTGGGTGCATATTGCACAGATTCTGCCAACCACAGGAAGCATTTAGCAGTTGCCAGCACCCCTACCCAACAGCTGCTTGCTGCATCAGCCGGAGCACTGACCACGTGCTGTCTCCTGAAGAGAGATCTTCACTCAGTTCTCTCCTGCCTCCTCAGTGAAAATTTCTACAGTCCAGCAGTGCTGGCAAACATAACCAATTCCTTGTTTTCTCCAGTGGACTCACTTGTCATACCAATCTGGCATAAGGTTCAGAGTTTTGGGTGGGGAGAACCACTGGCATCCGCCCTACTTCAAATGCACATAATGAAGAGTTCGAAGACTTCAAGACAGACCGCATCTGGGAACTTTAGGCAATATGCCATGTGCTAAAATAGCTGCCTGAAGCAACGGAGTAACTTTTTGCCTGTTACAAAGACTCCCATTTCGTACAACGTTTCATTCCCCCTACCTGGTGACCTTCTGACTTCATGGACCCACAGTCCTGTGACCACCAGTTGTGTTCTGACCAGAAGCCTCAGCCCTCGCTTCACAGTGCTCAGTTGACAGAACAGCATTGTCCTGTATCCTGGCTTCTTCTACAGCAAGCAGTAATTACAGTTCCTCTTTAAAAACAAAAGGCAGAACCACTCCCTGAGAAGAGTGAAATCGCCAAGGGCTGGGAGTTACTTCTGTAGAGCCTTCTGACCCTGTGCTGATTATCGCTGAACTAGAACACGCAGATCCCGGTAAAGCACTAAGCAAACCTCCAACAATGAGAGTTATCTGTCCTTAAAAAACCACACACAACAGACTTAAAGCACGGTAGTAAGTTCTAGTTCCACTAAATCCCCATTTCACTGATCCTTGTAACAGATGATGACACTTTGTGAAAAAAAAGCATTACGCCACAACATCCAATTTTCCCCTCACAGTTTCCATTTTGAGGATTCCTCAGCATTAACAGTTTTAACCCGCTCCAGCAGTTCACGCTGCTGATCAGACTTCTGTGAGGGACAAGCCAAATTTTTTTGCTTCTCCACATGTTTCATAAGGGTCATACTCAATATTTGTGTTTCTACCTTGTGCCCTGTGGAAGAGTCAAATGTTGCGTGGCGTTAAAGGTGAGCGCGTGGAGGATCCAACACCGCAACCTGCAAAAGCCCAGGCGTTCTGTAGGAGCAGTAACTAGTCAGTAATGGAAACATTCAGCTGGAACCAGAACATACTGGTTTTCCTCACAGGACCTACTAATTCCAGATGTCAGAGAACCGACTCCAGCGACGCTAGTCAGACAATTATTGCTCAAATCTCAGCAAGAAGAGTCCCAGGTAACACTTCAGAGCAAAGGAGGCAGTTAAGCTGTTTATTGATGACAATGGAAACAAAAAAAAAAGTGATAAAGCAAACAGATTGTTCTTTAAATATAATTTTCTAGTCATCTGGAGTTCTCTCAGGGCCCCCCTCTTCCCCCCCCCCCTTTTTTTTTTTACTTCAGGAGTAGTTACAAAATTCCATAAAGAATTTAGAGAAAGAGGATATTTCAACGTAAATTTGTCACCTATGACAAAGTCAGAACAGCAAACATTATATAAAAGAAAAAAAAACCTCAAAACATATTTACAAATTCATACTTCGTAGTAATTGACAAATTTCTTGGTTACCGAGTGGCAGATTATGCATGGATGCTACATTCCAAAAGGCATTATCCAATCAGAGTCTCTTAGCACAAGATTAAGCTGAAAGACAGATTGTCCAAAAATAAGGCCAGTTTCATTCCTCATTTCTGTGTCTGATGACTAGAATTTTCTGGTACTTCTATGTTAATAAAAAACAGAGCATAAGAGCAACTGATCTCACCCAAATGGAATACACAGATCAAACTGCAAGTTTCATTCTTAGCAGGAGTTATCAAGAGTAGAAACTCATAAGAAAGGACAACAGTATACACCTTTTTTTTGCCATCTTGTCTATTGCTAATTTTAAATGCTTGTATAGAAACAAATCCCTACACCGTACTTGCAGTATGACCATAAATAGGCAATAGTTTAAGAACATAAGATATGATTACCTTGAACTATCAAGCTGTTTCGCACTTCAGAAAAAAGTGAAAAAAGCCCAAACACCTTGTTCTTCCTCTCCCTCTCCCCCATCCCAACCCCCCCAGCCCCATTTCCAAACCAGGAAAAAGAAAGTTATACTCTGATGAATATTAGAACTGGCACCAACATTCATGCTAGTTGCCCTGATGTGCAACAGAAAGTTCATTCACAATAGTCAGAAACATCCTTATGCATTAGCCCCAAAGAGTTCAGCTTCTGAAAACAGTTTTTTTTGAAAAAAATCCCATCAGGTATGACGTGGACAGCGTCCAGAAGGTGCAGGAATGTCCAACACTCTACGTCGATCTTCATATTCATCAGTGTCTGTGGAATCTTCATCTTCATCTACTGCATATTCATTATGATTTGTTTCCTAATACAAAACACATCCATATTTAATTAAAACATTCTATCCCAGCTAGTCATAAGAAAGAACTACCAAGAAAACTGCCTAGAAAAATCTGGTCTGCACTATCACGTCCATTAGCTGAAGTAAACATTGTGATCTACGTCCAAAACCCTCTCCTTACAATCCCAAAGTTTCACTTGCAATAGAGGTTGTTTTGCCAAACGACCTGATCTTTAACTCAGTAAGTATCCAATAGCCTTCATGATTTCATATACACAACTATGTAAAGCCACAATTCAGTACCTAAGCTGTGCCAATTTTCTTGGTGGCTTATGCTTTTATTAAAAGTAGTTTAAAGACAAAGGGTCATTACTACCTCTAAAACAGAGGTAGAGCAAAGGAGAAAAGCAAATTATTTTTACAGTCAGCTGAATGGAAGGAGGTTACAACTCCCATAAATGTGAGCAAGAGTGAAGAGAAGCAGTTTTCTGTTGAAATATCGACATCTACTGGCACCTAATTGTTAGAGCTGCCAGTACTGAGTGTCTTAGGTCTCTGGAAGGTGACAAAACGCCCAAGCAGATGTCTATCCCCTACAGGAAAGGCTCAATGCTCACAGAAAAACTTGCAAGTTCCGAGTCACTAAATAAGGGCTACGCTAGTGATAAAAATCAACAAAGCATTCTTCTCTAAATGTGCCAAAGCAAAGGGAGACCTGCAGTCTCCAAACCGAAACTACATTATAATGAAGAGGAAGCTACATACCGTACCCATCTGCAAAGTCATTAAGTGGCTTTATGGAATGTATTTTTAGTGAGAACTAATGGTCATCATATAGACTGCTGTAATTTTTGAAGTGTCAATTAGCTGAAACTTTCCTTGTTGAAGAAAGTAGATATGCTATTGAGGCTAAACCAGTGTGGTCATACCAAAACAAAGTATCGGCAAGAACTATGAAATCCAAACAGTTCATGCCATGCCATGTTTCTAGGTACAAATTAAGAAGTGAGGCATCTCCTTAAAGCAAAACAGGCAAACAAAGCTTAACACTGCTGTAGTCGGCATAATTAAAAATATGCCCTGAACAGACATACATACACACACACGTATGTATTTCTGTGCATCCTGAGAGGCACTTGTGGTCAGACACAGGACAACAAGACAGTCGCCTCCTACCTCTGTCGAGAGCCCACAGGGCCCCCTGATCTCACCAATACAACCAGGTTTGACCTTGATACCAGACAGAAGGGAGGACTTGAGGAGGAAGACTCACAGCCATGTGCAGCATCCTACGAAAACTAGGGCCAAGGGTCTTGACTTCAACTGGTAGCATTACGGAGCAATGAGGAGACATGGCTTTCCCAACGTACAAACTGCCCACAAAGATCACTACGGTTGGTAACTAGTCTTAACTGGAGCAGGTTTTGTATGGAGTTATCAATCTGAATAACTCTCAGTACTGTAGATTCTGCACCAGAATTGTTTTCCTATTAATAAACATTGCAGAAGCTGAAAAAAATTCATACAGACTGGATGATACTTCTACCTTTTTTTTTTTTTTGAGAAATCGTTCTGCAAAAAAGTGATTTTAAAAAAAAATGAAAACCAAAAAATGACATGACATTGAAGTTTAAACACAGCGACACTATTGAAATGAATCCAACTGTTCTCAGAAACAGGAGGTCAAGAAAAAAAATCTAGGAGAAGCACAACTGCATCTTTGCTTACCATTCGTGCTGTAGACACCTTGAATGTTGGACACACCATGTGAAATCTGGGAATTGTGACGTTAAAGAATTTTTCCTTGTAGTAGAGGCAATGGAAGGTGTAATACCCCTCCATATATCCAGATGTTGTGGAAAACGTAGTACAACTGGTATATTCATAGACTCTCCCTGGACTGATAATTGGAAACTCCCCTGTTGGTAAAACATTAGATCACAAGACTAAGGACTGAAGTAGAACTACAATTCAGCAATTTGCTAAAGCACTTGCACCCCACAACATATTCAGGCAGATGATTTTGTATTCCAGTGGATGCATAAATGATTCTCAGCCATTACTGATGTTAAAAAACTGAAGAGCAGTAAATTATCAGGATGTTCAGACATCCCCTGCAAAACAACTTTAAAGACAAAATGGATGGATACGTATCTCCTTCTTTCGATCAACCAAATTATTTTGATAGAAACCATACAACCACCACCCCCTGTCACCACACTGAACAGCTAAAAACGTCACTTTCATAACACGTACGTTCAATACACTCTCTCTGTTGGGGTCGTAAAAGCAAGCCATAACTTACCAACTACTCCAGGACCTTGCACTTCTTCTACGTCACCTTTGGCATTTGTTATTCTCCAGTATCGACTGTCCAGCTGACAAGCCTTCTCAGGAAGAGCATCTTTGGACATTTCAATTCTAGAAGACAAACAGCATACTTCACGGTTATGTAACTACTTCATTCATTTTAAAAAATGCTTTAGTATCACTGGGATCTCTCCAAGTGGACTGGGCAAAAAAAACACCACCCTGAGATAAAGTATACTGAATCAGTTGTTGGGATCCACCTCCATGCCTCTGCTTCACTATTGTTATCTACCCTTTTCTAAATCATAATAACCACTCATAACTTCTTTCCCCCACCCGTCACTGTACAATTACCACCTCAACCGGTACTTTGCATATCTGAATCATAGAATGGTTTAGGTTGGAAGGGACCTTAAAGACCATCCAGTTCCAACCCCCCTGCCATGGGCAGGGACACCTTCCACTAGACCAGGTTGCTCCAAGCCTCATCCAGCCTGGCCTTGAAGACGGACAGAGATGGGTCATTATATTTAGCCACAGAAGTAACCCCATACCAAAGAGTGACATTAAAGGTAAGATAAGGGGAATCGGACACTGCACCTCATGTTGGTTTCCTCGATGGCTTGAATTAGCAAGAGATACAGCATGCAACGCAGCAAGTCTCTCTCTCTGATTTAAGCCACAACACATTGTAAAGCAAAACAGGGTACGCTTTTTGTGTTTGAGTTTGGTTTGGGTTTTGGTTGTTTTTTCTGTGGGGTTGTTGGTTTTTTTTAATTACTGAAAACTGAAATGTATATCAAATACAATAACTACCTATAATCTAGTTTATAGAAATTGTTAGGAGTCAGCAAAATTACATATAAAACACGATTTAGCTTTTTTTTTAAATTAAGCAATATATGTTGAGCACATCCTATCCATTATAGTACATTTATGAATGCTGTGCATAAATTTGCAACAACTGATCCTCTGAACATTGCATATGTCTTTCCTGTGTTGTAAGAGCCAATTCAGTTGTTATTTTTACCTGATTCTGTAAGTGAAGAAATAATGCGGTGGATGTACAGAACTGAGTTCAGGTAGAAAAGATGTGGACACAGACACAGTAATATCTCCTGTGGTAGCAACACATTCTTTATCATGCACATACCTAAAGAAAGGAAGGCATTAATTCTGCATGTAAATCTGTACACTCAATACAGAAAACTAAACACAATGTCATTAGTTAGTTACTAGTAAGAGTACTGTCATGCTCTGTTAGAAGTAACTCTCTTTTTCTTTTGGCAGTTAAAAAAGAATGCATGAACACAGTGTCTACACGATGTATACTTCCCCATCACCTAAACTCATAGAGCTGTGGAACTTTCTGTACCTCCTTTAATGCTGGTATTAAGCTACGTGTATAATTTGATCTGAAGTCAATGAAAACATTTGTTTAATAAGGATGTGTCATTACGCTATTTAAAAACCCCAAAAACTAGAAACCCCTCAAGCAAATTAATTTACAGATCAGGGACTTGGTTCAATAGCATCCCGGTTAGACAGAATGAAGGTTCTTGCTTGTATTTAGAAGAAATTAAAAGTGCATGAAGATTCAAACACCAGAACAAGTCCTGATTGTTTCTATATCCAACAGTGCTATTCTAGAGCTCAGTTCATCGAAACAACTGCTTTTTTAGTAACTTGGAACAGCTGTGCAGCAGCGGCACTCTCAAGGCAAGCAAAACATCATTATGCTGCTAGCAAAACTTTACACCTCTTATAATGCACAATTCTGGTCCCATTAATGCAAAGTTACAAACTCTGAAGCTTCTAGTAAAAAATAAAAGGTTTTTTTATTCTGTTTTACAGCTTTATCTTGTACATTTCACACAGTTTCTTCTCTCTCTTTTGTATCAGACACCCATAACTACTTGGAAAGAGGTCAGCATTCTAAAAGAAGCACCGAAACCCTGCAGCGGGGTTATAAATCCCAGTCACTATACCTGAAAATCTGGTCTCTGATGATAGGATAACCACCAGTTACAACTTTGTGTACATAGGATGTAAACCATTCCAAGTAGGATGTACCTAGATGACAAAGAAGAAAAGTATTCACAACGACAGGCGAATTTACCACTAAGCACATTACAATAAATACATCAAAGAAACATTTTAAAGCTTTGTGTATTTTTATTATGAACTCTCAGGCTTGTTTAGATGAGTCAGTCAATATTCCAGTCCATTCTACCAATAAAGAACTAAGAAAGAGTGCATACACCAGAAATGACACAGCAAACAGAGAATCTCTTAGCTACGTATTTCACATTATAAGCACAGTCTTCAAACGCCGGTGTCCCTGATCATCTGGTTACCTGCTCACAGCTGTTCTGCTACGACTGGGAAAGAAGACAAGCATAGTGGCCTGCACTAACTGTATAGCTATTCCCAGCTATTCTGCCTACAAAAGGCATGCAAGCCTGCTAGTGGATTTATGGACTTAGGTTTGATATCCAGGTGGATAGTATGAATAGTAGGTAGACAACATCGACAGCCTTTCCCTTGTCCACTAAGAAACACGCTAGCAAGTTGCAGAATTTCTCTCTCGTTACAAGCAGGGATAAGTCACAAACATACTCTGCACTCCTCCTACAAACCCAGAAGACTAAGGCTCTATGTCATTCCAAAGAACCTGGGATTGTCACATGCTTACAGCCGTTGTCTGAGAACAGTTTTTCATACACCTACAGCCATCATTTAGGAACAGCTTGATTACTAAGTAGACAGTCAAGCTGTCACATTTAACTCTAAAAAAAGTGTGTTTCATGCAAGACATACCGGTATTCTGTAAAAGAATTTCTCAGCCATAAATCTTCCAAGCATTGCAATATAGGATTCAATAGAAAAGTACAGAGTTCTTCAACTATTTGTCAACATTACTGATACAAAACTGGATTTAAGCTGAAATGCTAAGAAATCGTTATCCTCACCTTCACTACACGTTATCAAGTATTACCACTCCTATTAGATTAAGTGTACTTACCACTTCTTCCTCTGAGCAAGAGCTGTGTGTACTGTCCTTTGATCTTTTGGAAGTCTAAGAAACTCCAAGTTTATTATCCTCCTTTCTACCACTAATCCGCAAAATGCAAACCTTGTATAAAAGTAACTCCGAATGGAGAAAGCGGATGAGTTTACCCCGTCACCTTCAAAATGACAAGATAAACGCTGCATGTGAAACTTCCCCGCCACCCTGCGATAAGCCAAGGTTAACTCTTTCAGCCAAGTGGAACACATTTAAATATGATGTCAGATCACCTCCCCACTGACTAATCCTCAGGCAGAGGGGAGGAAGTAACCAAACTCCTGAGCTTTCACTACACCTTTCCTATGATGATTCTAAAGTACACAATGCATTCTGCAATAAGACCTTTGAAAAAACATGACAGGTTGACTACTTCACACTGAAATCAGTTCAGACAATCAATCAGTACACAGAAAGCTTTCCTATAATTAGCATGGCTAAGAGTTTGTCTACCTCCAACCCAAACCAGCAATGGTACAGCACTGCCTAATGCGGTTTCTCACTGCAATATTAATACATATACCCTAAGAAATGTGCAAGGCTAAACTTTAATATTAATTTTGGTGCCATGTGTTACACATCTGCTTTCCCACTGAGCGAAAGGAATTTAGACATAGCCACAGTTACCAGATTGCAGTGAATTAACAAAAAGAAATAATCAAAACACTATTCCAGTCATGTACATGTCAGATGGATGATCACAACAGATCACTGCATAATCAAACAACAGTTACAGAGTTTTCCCCTTCCCTTCTCTAAACCTTTGAACAAAGCAATCAGGCAAATGAAAAATCCAGAAAGGTTTTCTTCTGCACCTATGTTTATAGTTAATTATATTTCAATAACGGACACAAAATATTTTCAACTTCTAACATGGTTGCAAAAACTGCGGGGGGGGGGGAAACCTGTCTTTTCACATGGGTGTTGCATTTAATAACTGCTTACATCACCTCCACAATGGCTAAGTATTTTTGATGTTGCTCATCTTGTTAGACAGGTTAGTATACTGAATGACTTGTAGGCAAGACACACAGAAGTACAAGCTTTAGTATAGAAAAACTGCACCTCATTTCAAGTAACTGCTGATGTTTTAAAGCAGGTTAGAGTCATACAAGTAGCACAGAAAATATAGAACATTTCCTTTGTTCAAGACATAGACATGCATTTTCTGAACAGTGCAATTAAAATATTCTGCAGAATATTTTGTCTAAAGTGTTACCTGTAATAAACATATCAATAGCAGATGGATTGCGAGCCATTTGGTCCTAAAAGGGAAAGAAGGTTATGGATGTATTAGAAGAGCATTAGACTTTCAAAAGTAAAATTCAACACCTGAAATATAGAGAACACTATCCCTATATTCACTAAACCTAAATACTGGCTGCTCAGTAGATCATTAAACTCCCGGTCAGATATTCATAGATATAACACACACCTGTCCCCATGGGTGATCATGTAATCACAGAATCATAGAAAACTTTTAGGTTGGAAAAGACCTTTAAGATCATCAAGTCCAACCACTAACGTAGCACTGCCAAGTCTATCACTAATCCATGTCCATAAGGACCTCATCCACACATCTCAAATCCC